GGAAGCAGCATGGAGGGTGGGGTGGAGAGGGTCTCTGCTGCAAAGTCTGCTTGGTGGTGTCCCCATGCAAGCCCAGGCATGCAGGCAGGTGAGTCCCTGGTAGCCCCACTCCCAGCCCATGGGAACACTGACTGGAGTGCTATGACAGAAACTATGGATTGACCAGCTCAAGGCATGAGTAACAGCTTCTCTCCCCAGTCCATGGTTTGCAAGTATGCCTGCTCTGTGTGAGCAGGAACAGGTGTGTATGACCACAGTTGAACAGTCCATGGCTGCTCCAAGGGCTGCATGCCATCGAGGCTGTTTTGTAGTTATACAAGTGTCCAGCAGTGGCACAGGGACAGGAATGACTGGGGCAACTGCAGTCATGGGTTAGGATTGTAAACCAGGGGTCTGAGGTGCCTGGACAATAAAGAGCTGTACTTGTGTGAGGGCAGCCAAGGTAAAACCCTTGTGTTATGACATCTGCCCTTCAGCCCCTACCTGCAGTGCATGAGGTGGAACTGGAATGTCCATGTTCATGATGAAGACAGGAACCTTTGGACATATTCCTTTGCCTCAAAAGCAGGATCATGCATTCTCTATCAGGCAGCAGAACTAAAGTGATCATGGGACTCTGTTGCCAGGAGCTCTGCCTGGGCCTTGTCTAGTTATTAGACTCTAATACCCTCTGGCATCCCTTTCTGTATTTTCCACCTCTTCACCACAGCCCTGGTGCTCAGAGCAACAGGAGGGGGCAGGGAGCAGGAGGGGGCCTCGAGAGGCCAGCAGGCTGCAGGACATGGGTCAGGGGCTGTCACTAGCACTGCAGATCAGGCAGCAATGGAAGTGACTGTAACACTGACAGTGACAAGGAAAGGGAATGAACCCCAAATCACGGCTTGGACTAAGGGACTGCAATTGGGTTAGGGAAGGGCAGTGAGTGGGGGCGTGGGGGTTCAGGGGAGTTATATATAGTTATATATATAACTATATATAACTATATATATATACTTAAAAAAAAAAAGATTAGGTCCTACACTATACATAACACCTCTTCCTGGTCAAGGCCTCAGCTAACCAGTAGCTGTGGGCTGTTTCACACCCAATCCCCAAGAGAGTAACCCCCTAAAAGTATCTCTCCAGAAATCAGGGCACTCTGAAAACTCACACATGACCCCATTGACAGCAGTCAGCTGATGCTAGGAGAAGCAGGACACAAAAACTCACAGAAAAGAGGCTGCAGGATGGGGTGGCCTGGGAGCAGGAGTATGGGGGACAGGATGAGACTAGCTTTCCTCCCCACCTCCTCCCAACTTCAACCACTAGAGAGAAGATGGTACCAGAATGACCCAGCAATAAACTCAACATCTGTTGATCTCTATTTGTATTTCCAAAGCACCTGTCATCATAACAGCTAGGCTGGGAATGACCCAGGTGCTGGGCCTGGGTGATGGCTGGGTGCTGTGCAGCCAAGCACCCTTAGCACTGCCTGTGCACTATACCTGCCCACGCTGCCTGGCCTTTCCCCTGGATTAACATAGGGAGCCCCTCTGGCATCTGAGGTCTGCGAATGCTCCAGCCCTGCTTGGTGCTGTGGGTTGCCACTTCAGCCTCCCAGCCAGCTTTTGAGTACGCTCTGCTTTTTCTGCAAGGAGCCAGCCTGGGGCATCAAATGGCTGAGCCAGGTCCAGCTAAAACCCCCAAGTAGCCCTGGGAAAACTGGTGAGTTTAGCCACTAGCGGTCTCCATCTCCAGCTGGCAAAGGGACACTTGGTACATGATTTTTCAAGACACCCCCCTCTCCCCCCACCCGGGGTGGGATGGGGAACAGACAGTGACAGTGAAGAGGACATTGAGACAACCAGATCAGAAGACAGCGATGAGGACAGCAGCAGCAACAGCAGCAGTGTTCAACGAAACACTTCAACGAAAGCGACAGTGAATGTACTGAGTTTTAAACCCAGTACTTGGGGACCAGAATAAGAGACAGGGGGATTGAGGAAAACAATGTCTAGCAGACAGGTGTGCGGGAGAGCCATTCTGCAGCTGCATATATTGTAACAGGTGTGCATGTTTTCCTCTGGTGGGTTAAGGAGGTAATGAACAGGGACTAGAAGGTGTATATATCTATATCTATTACTTTTATATACATAAGACATATATTTTTACACAAAAAAGAGGCCACACTGCTTGGCCTCTCCCCTGGATTAACACAGGAAGCCACTCTGTGCAGCTGAGGTCTGTGCATGCTCCAGCCCCACTTGGTGCTGGGGGTTGCCACCTCAGCCTCCCAGCCAGCCAGCCTTGGAGTGAGCTCTGCTTTTTCTGCAAGGAGCCAGCCTGGGGCATCAAATGGCTGAGCCAGGTCCAGCCAAAACCCCCAAGTAGCCCTGGGAAAACTGGTGAGCTTAGCCAGTAGTGGTCTTCATCTCCAGCACATTTGGTAAGTGCCTTACTGCAAGCAACAGGCTTTGTATTTGTGGGTCAGGCTAGAGCTAAGTGGACACAGTTGGCTTTGCTCTTCCTGTGGCCTGGGGGCTGCCTGATTTGAGGTGCTGTGGCTGAAGGAGAGGCTTGTGGCCACAGACACAGTGCTGAGTGCCCATAACACCATTCCCATCAACCATTTGGCTTCTTCTTTTCCTTGTCCATTTGCTTAGATTTTGGGTGCTTCCTGGCTCTTCCTAGGACAATATAATGTGTACGTGGGACACTGATTACCATGAGGGTTATTAATAACCCTGTTCTGCTGCCCATCATGGAAAGCAGCTTAGAGCTTGGTAATCTGCTGGGTATAGCTCCCCAGGTTTAATTGACCTGCTTCCCTCACCCCTGATGACATTATACCTGTTCCTTGCTGTAGGTTTGGCCTAGGCACCCACCACCCCAGCAGGCTGGACAGGGGTCTCAGTGCATCCCACCCTGAACTTGGAGGCTGCTCAGAGGGCAGTTCTCCCTGTCCCTTTGGGATGGCTGTCTTAAGTATTGTAATCACTGAGTATTATATTAAACCCTGAAGCTCATGGGGAATGCATGTCTTTTTGGGCCTTGGGCTGTCTGCCCACAGGGGAATGCCACCCCACTATAGATGTGGGCATGACTCCATGGAGCTAAGGGGGCTGGTGCCAGCAAGGAATATAGTCTGGCTTCTGGCTGGCATCCTGGGTCAATAGTGGAGGCCTGGGGGTGCATGGCCCCCTTATGAGCCAATGTTCCTGCTATGCTGCAACCAAGTGGGCATGGGCATCTCTGCACATGTTTGAGCAGCCCTGTCTCTCCAGTAGGCAGGCTGAGCCATTTACATAACAAGAGCTCAGACAAAAGTGGCTGTGTTATCACTAGCTCCAAGAGCCCTGTGAACAAACCCTCATCAGCACTGGCTGCAACAGGGAGCCATATTTCCATCAGAAGTTAATGCGCAGCCTTGCCCCCTTTGTTGCCAGGATAATGGAGAGCAGGCACTTGCTTCCCTGCTGTGATAAAGCTGTCATAGCAAGAGAAAGCACTGGTGTTACAAATGAGAGCCAGGCTGACAGCAGCCTCCGCAGGCTGCATCCCTGAGGTGTCCTATGGAAGTGATATGGGCTGCCCCACTCTGCTAGCAGTGCAGAGCCTGCAGAGGCATGGGCAGGAAAGCAACTTTGTTCTCCCCAGAAAACCCACCCCCTAAATAAAGCTACTCATTGACAAGGCCCAGGGCTGGGGCCAGCAAGTGATTTGGTTTGGTACAGCAAGGAATTTGAAGAGTCTACATAACACTTGAAAATTAAAACAGCAAAGAAAACCAAGTGGGCAGTATGGTAATGAACTGATGCCAGCCATGCACTGGGCCTATCTCCTTTCTCGAGCCCTCATCTAGAGGATGCAACTTTAGGAGTGTTTTATGCCCAGTTTGTACAAGCACAACTTAGGCAGCAGGTGCCAGGAGGCAGACAACCAGCTCCTACACCTAGAACCTCCTACATTATCGTGCACAGACAACCAATTTCTAGGGGCCAAACAATAGCTAACACCCTCAAGTCAATATTTACAGGTGCAAATTGGTTCTGCCTTCCCATCAACCATTCACAATCATGTCACAGAATCATAGAATGAAGGACCTGCAAGATCATCAAGTCCAGTCCCCTGCCATGGGCAGGAACGTATTGGGCTCAAACCAGCTCAACAAGGTACTTATCCAGCCTCATCTTGAACACATCCAAGGATGGTGACTGCACCACCTCTGCCAGCAGTGTGTTCCAGATTCTGGTAACCCTTACAGAAAACAAGTTTTTTCTTATGTCCAGCCTAAATTTTCCCTCAGTTAGCTTGTGCCCATTGGCCCTCATCCTCCCTTGAAGTGCCTTCCTGAAGAATTGCTCCCCTAGATCTTGATGCTCACCCCTAATATACTTATAGGTGGCTATCAAGTCACTTCTCAGTCTTCTCTTACTCAGACTGAATAGGCCCAGTTCCTGGAGTCTCTCCTCCTAGGGCCTATCCTCCAGGCCCCTAATCATACGGATGGCCCTCCTTTGTTAGCTAGAGTTTCCCACCTGCTTCAGCAACAAGGCCCCTCCTTCAACAAAGCCACAGCTAAGGCCTGTGAGATGAGATCCTCAAAGCAAATACTAAGAACCCTCTGCTATGCAGGAAAGCCCCTGGCATGCTTTCCTTGCACTCAAACAGCAGCAGGAAGCAGGTAATATGCAAAAAGGGGAGTCTTCTCAGCACACTTGCAACTTTCCAAGAAGCTGCAGCCGTTGCTCAGCAAATCAACAATGCTACAAGGCAGGAGGGCAAAAGTACAAAACTGTGAGAGGCTTTTAGCCATGTGGAAACTGCAACTTGTAGTCTGGGGCCACCTCTGTTATGCATAAATTGAAGGCCAGAATGCCCAAGTCCCCCTAGCTATTCTAACCCAGGCAACAAACACAAAAGAACAAAGAATGAATACCGTACTCCCCTCCCTCCCCCCCCTGCACCTGCAAACACACGCACACACATACACATACACACAAGAAGGGAATTCCTCTTACCTTGGAGAGTGTCCCAAGAGAAGTCGCAGTGAAGGGAAGTCTCCTTTGGCTGCAGCATAGTGAACAGGCAAGGCTCCTGTGTCTGTGGCTGCCAGGGTGTCGCTGCCTCCAAAGCGCAGCAGCCAGTCTATTACTTCGTGGTGACCAAAGCGGGCTGCGAGGTGCAGGACAGTGGCACCAGAACTGTCTGTGTCCTGC